AACAGCAACCAACATGTATAGCACGAAGAGCAGAACACTTACATATCAAGATCATCATCATAGGATCAACAGGGACAAAGTTACATTTAGCAATCAGCAGATTCCGGCAGTTTATATCACATAGCAGTTTTGCAATGAAGATTAAGGCATCAATATGAACAGTAACATCCATGCAAATTACTCCATCATGAAGAGCATCACGAGATGAACATTTTGACATATTATGCATGCAAAACGGAGTAACGAGCACGGAGTTATGCCATGATGAAGATGCACACATAATGCTAATTTTCTCAGACTTGAACCAATTTTACAGAGAAAAAAAACGAGATGTGCGTCATATAGTTATCTCGTGCGCAGGGTGGGGGTTAGCCGTCGGGTGCTCACCTAGGGCCCTTGGGCCTGTCGGTCCTGGGCTGGGCCTAGGAGGACGGAGGGGAGGTGGACTGGGTAGGGGCCGTGGGACGCCGGCGATGGGGAAGGCGGCGGCCGTTGCTGGAAGGTGCGGCGGCGGTGACCGACGAGGAGGCGGCGGCGGAGGAGCTCCGGGGTCGGGCGCGGGATCGGGCACGGAGGCGCGACAAGCCGGGCCGGGAGGGCCGCGGCTGGGCCCAGCGGGCCCGCATTGTGGAGGCGCGGTGGAGACGGCGGCGGGGACACATGGAGGGCGTGGATTGGCTCGGAGGAGGCAGCGGACATGTTCGGTGGCGGGGTGGTGTGTCCGGCGGCTGAGAGGGAGAGAAGCTAGGGGTAGGGGTGGTTTCAACCGCGAAAATGGAGAGGGAGGACCTATTTATAGATAGAGGGAGCTAGGAGAGTCCAAATGAGGTGCGGTTTTCGCCCACACGGTCGTGATCCAACGACGGAGAGCATGGAGGTGGTTTAGATGGGCTATTGGGCTGTGTGGAGGGGTGCTGGGCTGCAAGAGAAAAGGGGTCTGGCGGTTAACGCGGTTAACCGTTGGGGCATCAAACGACCTCCAAATAGAACAAAATTTGATAGGCGGTCTACCGGTGATATACCAAGACCACTCGTCAACTCTCAGCCCATTCCGAGAACGTTTTTCTCCCGCTCATGAAACAAGGTCTGAGAGGGGCGACGGGTGAATGCGAGTGTGTCGGATGACGAAACGGACAACGGAGAAAGAGATCGGATGCAAGTTTTGAAAAACATGCAGATGAAATGCATATGGTGACATGGCAAAATGCAACACGCAAGCAAATGACATGGCAACGATGGCGAATAACTGGAAGACACCTGGCGCATCGGATTCGGAGCGTTACAACTCTCCTCCACTAACAAGAGATCTCGTCCCGAGATCTTAGGAACGAGACGAAAGAGAAAGAGGAAGAGATGAAGTAAGAACGCAAGAGAGAAGATGAACAAAGTCTGAGAGCGTTCGGGTAGAAAAGAGGAACGGTGAATATGACGAGAATCAAAAGCCCATGGAATAAGATAGACTCTGAAACCACTTCAGTTAGAACAAGATAGAAAAGGAATAAGAACATAAGTATTTGGGTAGCACTCCGACTGAACATGGAAAGAATAGAACATGAACTTCACAAGATGGGATGACACTTGATGAGATGAACAACGCAATGCCTCTGGAAGAATAGAGGAACGAAAAGAATGGATAAGAGAACAACAACTTTCACCACGAATGAATTAGATAGCATCCTTAGAGGAAGTATTGAATGGATTTGTTGAGAAAATCAACAATAAAAGAATAAGCTTGTTGTGGACTTATCAAAAACATCTCAAAACTTGAGGTGAAATTATACCACAATCAAATGTCTGAACAATTTCGCGGTTCGAAGTGTTTTCATATTTTCTTTTCTGGAGTTCAAATTTCCACAGCCATTTCGTCGGAACCTCACCGGAGAGGGGGGGCTTGCGAACGGGTCTCACGCCCTGAAACATCTTCCATGCGGAAAAAACGATTTTTTATTTTTTTTATAGTATTTATTTTGATTTTACTGTTCATGGCAGAAGTAGATGAGCTCCAGGAGCCAAATCGCCGCACTTCAACCAAGGTTGTTTAGAGTATCTACAACCGGATCCCCAAAACGTCACATCGGACTCCTACTTTGTCCCCAAATGATCGGGTTATCCACAGATCTTCATA